CTTCCACCTTCCCCGGTGCGGCGGAGTCGCCGTGTCCTTTGACACCAAAGAAATCTTCTTCTTTGGTGAACTTCCCTCGAGACAAGCCTTGAATCCGACGGTATTCAGGTGCAAGCTTGCCGGAGCAACCGTGTGGAACCCCCTCCACACTCCCTTGAGTCCCCCCTCACAGGATCTTCTCCCTCTCTCAAACTCCACCCTTTCTTCACTCCCTTTCATGCTCTCTCTTCAAGTTTCCCCAAGAAGAACGAAGCTACAATGGCTAACAAAGACACTTTACAAAGTGCCTTGAAATTTCTTAAATAAAAGAGCTAAAAATGAGCTCATCAATGCAAGTTGTCAATTTTATCATCAAGACTGATAGGCATATCATCCTGGCCGATTAGTTCAAATATACGAAAAATCATCCTGAATATCACCCTGAAATAAAGCTGGACGATGTCCAATCGGCCTGGCCAATGTGATCATGCAAATCACCATTAATTGCTTTCCTTGATTTCTAGATTTATTTAAGAAAAATTGCTCTGGCTGATCCACAGGGACGATGTCCAAAAATATGTATTTCCTAAGTAGTTCTGAAGGCAGATTCTTTCTGAATTGAGCCTATCATCCTGGCCGATACAAAATCATCCAGGACGATGTGTTTTGCATAATGACAGCTGCTTTAATGAGGATGCCCTAATCAGGGTTTCTGCTTTTGAACCGATCGTCCAGACCGATATAAATAACCTCCCGAACGATGTTACCAAAAATAATAAACTCCAGGGAACAATCAGAAATCTTCCAAGTTACCAAGCATCATGAGCCACACTAATACAATAGACTCAAAAAAGGAAAAAGGGTACAAACTGACTCAGACCTAGTTTACCCAATCTTAAGCTGGTTCCAAATTATAGTCTGATCGTTTGGACTGAAATGTCAGTAGATAAGGGAGTCGTAGAGAAAAAAGAATGTTTGCTATCATCAAAATCATAAGCCATAGATCCGCAAAATAAAGCTTGGAATATTATTTGTGATGATTTATTTGCTGGAGTTTTGGATTTTTTTAATTGCAACACTATTGCTAAATTATTTTTAGTGCCTCTGTCATGCTTATTCCAAAGATGGTGGTTGTTAATAATTAGGCTGATGTTTGCTTTATTATCCTTTGCTCTTTGTTTAAAAAAGTTAATTCTTACACTTTTATGGAATGTTTATCCCCTTGTTCACTAAAATAATTTCTCAAAACCAAATGAGGATTGTGAGAGGGAGAACTATATATCAAACAACATTTTATTTGTTCAAGAGCTTACTCATGATCTGAAACTTAAAGTGAGAGGTGGTAACTTTATTTTTAAATTAGATATTACTAAAGCATATGACAATATCAATTGGAAATTTTTGAATTCCATCTAGCAGTTATTTGGTTTTAACTCCTACTTTATTAATTTGATAAAAAAAACATCATTGAAGGCTCTTTTTGCTCTATTATTGCTAATGATAAAGCAAGGGTTTCTTTAAGACTTCTCATGGTATTATGAAAGGGGATCCAATTTCTCCTACCCTTTTTATTATTGATATTAAGTATCTTTCTAGAGGTCTAACTCACCTTTTCAATGTTAAACATTAGGTATACAACCTTAGGTGGTTTTCTTATATCTTATTTATTCTTCGCTGATGATGTTATTATTTTTTCTAATGGTTCTATGAATATGGTCAAACTTCTTATCAGATTTTTGAACAATTTTGAGTAATTAGTGGCTTAACCTTAATAAATGCAAGTGTTGATTTATCACCACTAAGAATTTTCCTAGTGATCTCATTAATGCTATTAAAGATATCACTAGTTTTAAGCAAGGATATTTACCTTTAAAATGTATAGGTGTTTCCCTCTTTAAAGGGCATAAGAAATCCTTTCTTTTTTATTATCTTATCACTGTCGTGCAAAACATGCCTAACCCTTAGGAGTTTAATTTTTTTTTGTTTTGGTGGGAGATTGTTTTTGATCAAGACTGTCTTATGCTCTTTGCCTATTTATATTTTTTAAACTATTCAACCTACTCTTACTACGTGTAACATAATTAAAAAATTGTTCAATAAGTTTTTTTGGAAAGTTAAAAGTGGTAATTCTAAAATTATCTGGACTACTTAGAGAAATTATTGCAATGTTTTGAAGGAAGGTGCTTTGGGGTGTAAGAATTTGGTGGATTTAGCACATGCATTTTCTTTTAAATTATGGATTAATTTTTGCAAAAAAATTAGCCTTTAGTCCAAATTCATGACTACTAAGTATTGTGTTAGCAAACATCCGACTATTTGCTCTTACAAAATAGGAGATTCGAGAGTTTGGAAAAAAATTATAAAATATCAAATGTAAAGCTGAACCTCATATTAGTTGGGGTATTGGTAGTGCTAAGTGATTTTTTTGGCAGGATCATTAGTTGGGGAATTCATCTATTCACCATATGCTCAATACTTCTTCAATTGTCATTATCAAAGTTGACTCATTTATTAAAAATAACTGTTGGGACTTTAATAAATTAGTTGAGGTTATTCCTAAAACTATGATTATTGAGATTTTCAAATTCCTTTAAATACTGATGTTGATGGTTTCTTATTATGCAATATGGCTAGTAATGGCCTTTTTAGGCTTGAGGATGCTTGGAATACTATTAAAACAAAGAATAATGTCAATAAAGTTTTTAATATGATTTGGCATAAAAGCATTCATGCTACCATTTATACTTTTATTTGAATAATCATGCATACACATGTCCCTACATATGAGAATTTATTAAAAATAGGTTTTGTTTTGACTTCTAAATGACATTGTTGTTATCATGTGGAAAATATGCACCATGTGTTTATTTATGGTCTAATTGATGCTAAATGTGGATTTATTTTGAGGATAATTTTAAAATTAACAATTTCCATTCTAATATTTCTATCAAGGACATCCTCAATATGTGGTTCTCTAATTCAAAAGGCCATATTACCAATCTCATCCCTTCTCTTATTATGTGGTACCTCTAGTTTGCTAGGAATAATTCTCCTTTTTTATAATATTAATATGAAACATGAGCATATTATTAGGAACATTAAAGACAAAGTGTGTAAATTATTCAATGTTCATATTTTGATAACTAAGAATTTAAAAAAAAAAAATTTGTTGCTAAGGATTTTAGCATTGCAGGTGAACATAACAATAGCAATGATACTCCTGTATTGATTTATTGGTCCAAACCACCCTAAAATGTGTTTGAGCATAGTACCAACGTTTCATTGAAAGACAGCTCTTGGGGTTGTTATCATTAGAGATTCTTACGGTAAATTTATTATTTCTTATGTTAGTCCTTTACTAATGCTCTATTAGTTTTGTTGAACTATCTACTATTTTATATGGATTGAAATTGTGTCTTTCTCTTAGTATTGTTAGCATCTGGATTGAGGCTGATCCTAAGTACATGCTCTTTTGTTTAAAATAAAGAGATGATAAGATTTGCGATCTTGAAGTATTTTACATTCTTAGGGAAATTAAGCAACTTTTGGTTTTCATTAAAGCTAAGTTGACACATGTTCATAGGGAAGGTAATGCTTGTGCTGATTGGTTTGCTAACCGTGGTTATCATCTTAAATTTCTCACTGATGTCTCTTACAAATACTTGCCTACATTTATAAAGGGCCTTATGAGATTAGAGCTTGGTCTTCCTTATGTTAGAAAATACATTTTATTTTAGTTGGGATTGGTTGTATTGTGCCTGTTTTGGTGGTCACTTCTTTATGGTGACCTCTGATCTCCAATTGATGTTTGTTACTCTTTATTTTATAGATGTTATCTATAGGGATGGTGGGGGCTTTTTTTAGCAATGATTGGAAATTATTGAATTATGGCCATAGTCTCATATGTTTTTCATCTTGCCTAATTCCTTGCTTGGGTAACAGGAGGGGTTATCAAGTTAAGCTTGATGGCCTGGTTCAGGATACCTGTATCTATGTAAGCAAACTTATTAGTTTTTTTTTTTTTTTGGCCTTTTTGTTTTTTTTTTTTTTTTGGCCTTATAGGGACTGCACTAACATTAATCAGCTTTATTTTTCTCAACAATGGATTTATATTATTTTATTCAGTGACAAAATCTCCAAAATATCATTTTTATTTTAGTAATAAAATTATTACAATTAAAGTAGATAGTAATAGTTTGTTGTATATAAGCATACTTCCTCGTTGATTCGACACTCTAATTTGTCACTTTTTTACTTAATTAACATGAATACTTATGTATATTAAGTGGGGTTTATTATTATTTATATTAAAGAATACCTAAGCATTATTTAGGGGTGATACATCCCTAAATTTTTATATAATTCAAAATTTACTCCACAGCCCCATCAAGTTTTTGACATGGTTATTGGGAAAGTAATTTGCTTTTAGCAAACTTAACTATATTATTAAATTAATTACATAATTAGACAAACTTGTATTTTTTAATTTTACTTGTTTCATTTTATTTTGTGATTGTATATTCATGATTGCTTGCTTTATAGACAAAGAAAGGAACTGTTATTTCTTGACTCTAAAATAGATAGAACTCTTCAAAAATTTTCAAAAATAAAAAGATAGTGAAGTTGGTTGAACCTATATTAGATCAAGATCAATCTAGACCTCATAGGAATTATGATAACCCTTTAGTATACAGAATTCCTTACAGTTTAGTAGACCTGCAATCCTTGATAATAATTTTCAATCAAAACCTACCATAATTCAAATGGTTTAAAATTCTCAATTTTAAGGAGCACCTGTTCAATATCTCAACTTAAACTTTAGCATGTTTCTTAAAAATTTGTATAACATTTAAGTATGAATGTTTCAATGATAATGCTATTAAACATAGATTCTTCTCATTTTTTTCTAAGAGAAAAAGCTAAGATGTGGTTGAATTTCTTACCCCCCGGGCTCTATAACCACTTAGAATGAGTTTGATCATAAATTTCTTACTAAGTAGTTCCCTCATTTAAAGATTGTTAAACTTAGAAATGATATCACTTCTTTTTCTCAATTTAAAGGAGAATCAATCTATGAGAGTTAGGGGAGATTTAAGGAAATACTTAAGAAATGTCCTCACCATGATTTACCTGATTGATTGGCTATTCAAATATTTTATAATTGATTAGTAGGATCTCTTAGAATAATAGCAGATGCTGCAGCTAGAGGATCATTATTTTTTAAGCCATTTGCGTAAGCATGTGAATTAATTGAGGAAATGGATACTAATAATTTTTAGTGGCCTACTGAAATGATAAATCCAAAGAGAGTAGTAGAAGTGTATAAATTTGATGTTTTGTCAATTTTGACTATACAAGTTATGATAATCTCTAGGAAACTAAATAACTTAAAGTTTAAAACTAGGAGACATGGGTATAAGAATATCAATATAGATCCTAGAAATTTAAGAGTTTTAGCATCCCTTCATGTAGCATTATATTCTCACATCATATAGTGCTGCAACTTCATCACTCAGATTCTAAACAACTTTATAATAATAGAAATGGGAAGCTATCCTTGGAAAATATTATTATGCATCTAGAAATCCAATTTCATAATCAATCTAATGCTCTAAGAAAAATTAAAGATCAAATAGTACATCTTTCTAGGCTAATTAATCATAAAAAATTGGAAGAAAAATGTCATAATAATCAACTCAAAAGTGGGAAATATTTGGTAGACCCTAACAAACATAAAGGTCTACCTCAGATGAATGATGGCAAAGTTGAACAACTAGAAAATGAATCTTTATCTGAATAATATGACTCTATAAAAGAACCAAAAATAATAATTTGGAAGGTTATAAAAAGACTACCACCACCTTTTTCTCAAAGGTTAATAAAAAAAATCTTGACAAATAGTTCTCAAAGTTCTTAAAAGAATTAAAAAATTTAACCATTAATATACCCTTCTCTAAAGCTTTAGAACAAATGCCCACTTAATCAAAATTATGAAGGATATTCTGAATAAGAAAATGAAGCTTGGGAATTTTAAATTGTAGTGTAAACTGAAAAGTGTAGAGCTATAATTCAAAAGAAACTTCCTGAGAAACTTAAATATCCTAGGAGTTTTACAATTCCTTTAACTATTGTTGATAAATTATGTGAGAGAGCTTTATGTGATTTAGGCCCTAATATCAACCTCATGCCAATTTCTACTTTTAAAAGATTAGATATAAGATAGGTTCAACCAACTTCTGTCACCCTGTAGTAAGCTGACAGATCTTTCACTTATCCAAGAGAGGTAATAGATGGTGTTTTTATTAAAGTTAATAATTTTTTCCCTATCAATTTTATTGTTTTAGATATGGAAGCGATACGGAAATACCTCTCATTTTAGGATGACCTTTCATAGCTACTAGAAAATCCATATTAGATTTACAAAAGGGTGAATTTATTATGAGGGTTCAAGATAAGGAGGTTACAATTAATGTGCTTAAATCTATAAAATTTTCTCAAGAGAAGAATAAAGATTGATTTAGAGTGGATTTGGAAGATGTAGTAGTAGAAAGTCTAAAAAAAGAATTGATGGAAGGAGAATTTTTGGAAGAGAAAGAAGATGAAAAATATAAGGAAATTTTATAAAAAATTGTATAACAAGGGAAGGGAGTGAAAGTTTGATCAACAAAAAATTTGAATCTTTAGAGACTTTCTCCTCTAAAATAATTTTAAAACCATCCATTGAAGAGGACCCTAAATTAGAACTTATGGCTTTGCCTTGTCATCTCTAGTAAGCCATTTTGCGTAATAATTCTACTCTTCATATAATCATTTTTTTAAAATTTAAAGTGATCTTAAGAAAGTTAATTAATTAGGGTTTTAAGTAAATTTACAAGAGCTTTTGGATTTTTTAGCCAACTCTATTAAAGGATGTATATGAATACATTAAGAAATGCAATCAATGTGAAATAGTAGGAAATATTTCAAAAAAGAAATGAAATGACATTGAACTATATTTTTGAAACATAAATAACTGATATTTAGGGATTGGATTTTATGGAACCTTTTATGCCATTGAACTATAGAATAACAATTTTTTCTAGATTAAGAATGTCAAGACTTTTAATTAGTAATGAAGGAAGTCATTTATATAATAAAAGAATATAAATAGTTTTAAATAAATATGGCATTTTTCATATGATAGCAACTTCTTATCATCCCAAACTAGTGGTCAATCTTAAATTAACAATAGTGAGATTAAACAAATCTTGAAAAAAATTGTCAGATCTAATATGATGGATTGTCAAAATAAATTAGATGATGCATTATGGGCATATAGAACTACTTTTAAGATCCTATTGGTATGACTCCTTATAAATTAAATTTTGGAAAAGCTTGACACTTCTTTTGGAACTTGATTACAAAGCATTATGGGTAATTAAAGAATTAAATTTTAATTTTGGAGGTATAAAAAGAAAAGAAATTGATATAATTGAGTGAATTGGAAAAAATCAGAAATGAAACTTTTAAAAATATAAGCATTTAAAGGAAAAAAGAGTTTAAAAAATGGCATGATAGTAGTAAAATCCAGATGTTCTGGACCTTTCACTGTTATAAGATTATTTTACTATGAAACTGTGGAAATTAAGGATAAGAAAAGCATGCATGTTTTCAAAGTGAATGGTCACAGATTGAAATCTTATTTAGGTAGATACATTGATCGATTATGAAATATAATTAAATGGTTCATCCTAAAAAAATCATTGGTATAGTCTAGCTGAAGACTATAAACTTAGAGTATTTTGGGGGCAACCAACTTATGTCTTTAGTGAGCTTATTATGATGCCTTAGGGTGGAGCTTTATGCCCTAGTTATCTTATACCTTGGGTTATAGATGATTATATATATCACATATTTTATACCTTTCTATCATTCATATAAAAATATGTATTATTTATTAATATTTATGTGATTTATTACTTACATTTGATTAAATTCCCTTATGCTTATATTTTTTATTATCTTATATTAATTTCTTTACATTCTGATAATTTAATTAACCCTAATAAAAATGATAATTAAGAATTACATAAAAGAAGGACAATAATAAAACCCAAGATCATATATCAAGTGAACACTGCTTTAAAATTCATAGATTGAAAATTTTAATAATTCACTAACACGGATCAATTAAATTATTGATTAAACTTGAATTTATAAAATATACACTTATACATTAACCTTTAAATTGAAGATGAATAATTAAGGTTCAAGAATAAATATGAGTGGATTATAATTAAAAAAATATAACAAACTAGATTATGGAATTAGCAATCATATTAAATTTGAATATTAAACTCACTAAGATTATAAAAAGATTTTAAGCAAAATTAATATTCAAAATCATTAACTTTGTACTCCACCAAAATAAAATTGAAATCAAAGAAAAAAAAAGGAAAAAAGAAAAAATAAAAATAACATGAGTACTATAAAAAATTGTTATCATATTAAAATTTAGAGTCTAACTATAATCATATACTTAAATTCTCAAAGGATAAGATGAGAAAAATATAAATGTTGGTGAACTTATATAATTTAAATTTTAACTACAAATATATTAAAGCTTTAAGCTACATTATTTAATTTATAATTCAAAAGTTAATAATTATATTTATAACATATGAATTCAAATTAAGCAATAGTAAGGGTAACTGGTTAGGATAATTGTCAGTATTTTTAAAACTAGAATTATAGCTTTGCTCATTTCAACTACTTTTAGACAATAATATATTTTCTATATTTTTGTAATTTTAATTTTTATTTCTTGTTTTGATTATTTGTTTAGCCAAAATTACCAATTTCTTTATTTGCTTGCAGACAAGCAAGAGTTTAAGTTTGGGAGAATTTACATATTATTTAATATATTTTATTTTCAATGAAAATATGTTATTTTAGTTAATTTGTGTAGGAAAAACTCTAAAATTGGCAGTAATATTAAGGAGCCTTCAACACCGTAGCATCCAAGTAAACAACACCATTGTGCCATCTTCAATACCTTCGAGACACCCCAATTCTATCATTATGGCACCAAGTTCTCTATTTGCAAGAACTGTGGAAGCAATATAGATAGATCCACAATATTATTAGAACCATGGCTTCAGAAATTTTGCTTGGTAGCACCATATATTATATTTTTAAATGTTGTGGCGTCATAATTTCTTACTCCTTAGAGCCATTTTTACACTTGGTTTCTACAGTTCTCTAATGTCCATAGCACCAAGGTGTAGTAGTTTTAACCTCCAAAGGATATGTTCTATCATTGAAGAGACACGATTATTCAACAAGTAATTGATCCATATCAGCAATCACCATGGCAATGAAAAAGCTTTAGCGCTTGTGGTGACATTATTTTAAGCATCACAGAGCCAAATTACATTTTTATGTTTTCTATAAATAGTTATGGTGTTATGTTTGTGAGGTACTTCACTCACTTGTCTAATTTTAGTACTTTTTAGAGTACTTCTCATGTTCGTCTTAAACTAAAATCTAAAGGATGCTTGGAAGTACAAGATACAATCTTTTGGAGTGTTTAGCCAGTATTTCTTAAAGTAACTCTCCAAGTTAAAGGGAAAAGGAGTGCATAGGAGATACTTTGATCCTTCTAAGTGATATCACTCTCTTGTATTTTTCATTCTTCCATGACTTTAATGAAAATGAGTTAGCTTGTTATTCATTTGATGCCTAGCTAATTCTCTTATTTTGAATTAATAATATAAAATGTTTGTTGAGTACTACTAAAAAATCTTATTCTATAAATTGTAAAAAGATATTTTCAATATTATCCCACTCTTTATTTAATACACATATTGGTCATATATACAGTTAAAACTTAGTGTGATGTGTAGCCTCGATAAAGGAATGCATGAATAACCAGCAGTAGTAACATAGGATGTTTTACATATCTAGGCATAGGATGTAAAATATTTTAGGTTAAATGAAATATTATAACTGTAGAGGTCAACAGATATCCTTTTCACCCCTAAAAGATCGATAGAGATATAGGGGTGTATATACTCTAAATCACTTTCCTTTGAAGAGTTTCATTAGGAAATATGTGTTAATATGCTCATTAATCTAAAACACTTCAAT